GTATTATATTTATAAATCTTTATAACATTATACAAAAATTAGATTTTTCATAAAAATTGAAATTTTGCCGGGAATGGGGCTTTAAATTCTAATTATTTACCAACATTGGCCGTGAAAAAGAACTTTCGACGGCCGCTGAAAGAAAAGGCACTACAGTAGTTATACAATGTTTACACAGGCAAACGCAAAAGGGCTCCCGGCTTGGGGGGGGGGGGAAGGGAGGCGGTTGTAGCCCTTGAGAGAGAGGCCTCATTAGAATAAGCCGCGTGGCTCTATCAAGTAATGTATTTTATTCAGCGACTTTTCTAAAAAATTATGTTGCGACTTTTCCACAAAAAAAAAAAAAAATTTATGGCGAATGGATACAATGGGGCTTAATAGTTGCCTAACTATAGGCAAGGTGGAGATGCACGGTATGTATACCTCTACTATGATTTAACGATTAGCGCTAAGAGCATCCAAAATGCCGTCTCACGCACAAAAGAGAGCCATTCAGTCAGGCTTTGTTAGAACAGCGAAGAACAATAGAGAAATTCTTTCCTCCAAAATAAGTCATCGTAAGAGCCTTGTTTTTTTTTTTTAATTTATAAGTATTCCTCCATGATTCAATAGATAGACCGTTTGTCTAAGCCACGCCCTTTAGATATTGTTCCTAAGGGCCCATAAAACCTGAACACGTACAATGGGATATGACAAGTGTGATTGTGGACAAGCGCATATTTCACGCCTCTATTGGTCAGTTGTTAAGCTTGATTGATACTAAAAAAATGTTCATGCCTGCTGCTCATTCTCTTTGCTTTAAGCTACTCGCTCTCTTATCCTAGTCCGCATTATATGTATTTATACTTGTTTTACTTTCTATATGTAGGCCTACCATACATAATGGGTGTTGCATGCCCGAAAACATTTGTATTTTTTACCATAAGTTACGGCAACTATTACACCTTTGATTCATGCGTTTAACTGTGTCGCCGATGCAGCTATTTGTTTGATATATATACTCTATAATTTATACTGTATATATACTGTATTTGTATATATATATATATATATATATATAATACACATCTAGATGTGTATAAGAGTATAGTGCTCGATACACGTGATGATCGTATATATACTTTTTTCTTTTATTCTTATAACACAATCTGTCTTTATGAAATTGACCACCCAGGTAACGAAAGCGATATTGTGTTGTGGAAAGTGTTAACAAGTTATAATTGCCATGACAACTTCCAAATAATTGCGTTCAGTTTCATTCTTGATGATCTGTAACAACCCCATCTTTCGAAAGTGACATTGCTTGAAGTTAGTGAGTATTCATACATAATATAAATGTTCACGGTGCTAATTCTCGTTCTTTTTCCGTCCTCCATCTTGCTTTTCCTTCCACACACAGTTGAATACATGGTTTAAAAAAGAGCATTAGGACAGCCATAAACTGTACCATTCCTACGACAATAAACGGTTTGTAATAGCCACCATAATAATCATGAAGTACGCCTGTAAGAAAAAAAAAACATTAATTCATTTTTTTAAATAATATTCCTATTGGTACCTGGCTGCAATATTATAAAAAAAAATGTTTACCTAATTTTGACACTAATGGTAGCAATACATATGCCATATGATGATGTTATGTTCCTTATCTAAAGCTACCCTTGGCTTTCCTGCCCTAACGCTTCAATATTGATGATGATGATGAGGCCTTGGTGATAACTTTGACAATCAATCAATCAATCAATCAATGGATTTATAAGGCGCATAATACAACAGTCTTTCTGACGGCTACAATGACGATAATGTCTAGATATTTCCAAAGCTTTGATACCTCCCTCGCCCATGGGTTTGGTAGAACCATGGACATATTAATATAATATAGGTCCATGGTAGAACCAAGTCTTCTCGGAGGTTATGCATAGCATATGGCACGTGAGACCCTTAAAAATCAACTGCATCTTTCGAAAGTGTACGAGGTTATCACAAGCTCTAGTTAAATTAATTAATTAATTAATTTTTTTAAATTTATTTAAACATCTTTAGGCAGAATAACATATACAGGCGAGATCTTACCGCTGTTTTACAATATGGTCCTGCAAAAACACAGTACAATAACAACAACAAGCAACCAGCACAGTACAATAAAATAAACAATAGTAAAAACTTTGGTGGAAAACTATCCCCGCCGGACACCAACCCGGTACTTCTGAGTCAATGTTTCGGGGCTGAAGGTTAAGCTTAACTACATAACTTCAGTCCCAGTCCCCGTCGTTGTGGTTTGATGTGGTCAAGTGCCTGTCTACTGGTGATACTGTAGTATAGTCACGAACGCAAACGCATGAATTTAGTAAAATGAAGCTGCGAGTTTTGGGTTTTCTCCTACATTGACATGCTGTTGATAATTGTAATTTTATAGGTAGCTGCAAAAATATAGTAGTTCACAAGCGAAGGTTATAAATAATATAATGAATTGAATAGCCTACTATGTGTCTTACCTGTTATAGAGCCACCCAGTAAAGCCCCAGTACCACGTACAAGGTTGAACCATCCTAAAGCGGCTGGAAGTTTGTTCATACCGACATAATCCCGAACAAGAACCGGGCCAAGAGGCATCATGATACCGGTTGCTAAACCATATGTTATCGAAAACGTAAGAAGACCAACAAAATCTTGAAAAAGTGGGTCCATCATCAATGAAAGCCAAGCAACTACGGTTCCAAATCCCAAAAGAGTATAAGACGACATAATTTTCCAATGTAAGATAGCGATTTGAGAAAGACGACCGGTAATAGCACCGACACCAGTTGATGATAGAAGAATTGCCGACATAGTGGCTGATATCTGTAACTCTTCGGCTTGTGGAGTGACGTAAATTAACCAGGCTTCATAGGCAAAACCACTTAATAATATCACTGGTAAAAGTATCGTGAACATTGTGTTTTCACAAAACAGTCGCAATTCTAAATGTCTCACAAAACCTCGAAAAATGCTTCTTACACGTTTGCTTTTTGATAGTTTTTTAATTTTATGGTTTTTATTTTCACAATTGAACGATTGTCCGTCATGTATATATGACTTATCATTTTCGTCATCTTCATGAAGATTTATTTCTTTGAGATCTCTTGCGAGATGAAGTGGTCTCATTAGAGCGCCACCGACAGCTATATGTAGAGTAACACCAGATAATATCAATGCAGCTCCCCTCCATTCATACATTTGCAAAAATAACTACAGAATAAACATGAAAATATTGTTATTTCATATATACATATATATTAAATCAATTTACTATAATTTACTAGCAGCTACCATATGCTTAAAAACTGGCTCCATTATGTGTGAGCCCTCAAGTTGTACGAAGTGAGAGAGGCTAGTGGTCTTAGATCCGTAATTATATCGTAGGCCCCTCGTGCCTCTGTGGTCAAAAATAGTATGACGTTCGCCGAGATAGGGAGTTCGATTCCCACCATATACCTCTTTTTTTCATATAACTATAAAAAGGAACTTTCGTTGATGAACTATGTTTGACACGATTATATCATGTTCTTTTATAATTGAGAACTGTATTATTATCTATTATATATATATATGCCTATATATATATATATGTATTTATATATATACATATATACATATATATATATATATATTATATTCTGCATGCCAATGTAACACTTTTTATAATAATAATGAGAATAATGGTAGTTATAGAGGCTAATATTTATTTATCAAGCTATATATCTTGTACCTCGTCATAATAGAGTTTTTATATTTTATATTTTATATATATATATATATATATATATATAACTAAATGCGACGTCTCACTGTCAAGGCGACTGACATACTGCTAAGCTACATATATGAGCATATTGGGTGTATCCATGGAGGATAGTAAAATAGTGTATCATATCACAATCAAATCCAGATCGCCACCTCATACAACTGACATGCGCCTTCAACATCGGAGTTGAAGTAGCCCGGAGAGAACACAACGGCGGGTACAAATTTTAACAGGGATTTGGATCGTTTGATCATATAATATTCTGGTTAGAAATTCAGGTAGAGTGACGTCGGCATATAGTTCCAGTCAATTTTAATGGGCATGATGATGTCACTGTCTCTTATACACATCTAGATGTGTATAAGAGACAGACGCCTATATAGGTGTAACTAATGAAAGATATACTAACCTGTGTTATAGGAGGTAAAGAAAGGTAACCAATTGGTCCACCTAGGTAGATTATACCATTTGCTAAGACAAACAGATTTTCAAAATATCGGCTTATGATAACGACACTCGCTGTTGAAGCTAATCCGAAACCCATGCCTGAAAAGACAGGACCAAATCTTTAAAGCATTTCAAAGTATATCACTAACTATAGTAAAAATGTAATATACATAGATATATTGGTGTTTTTTTTTTCTCTTTCTTATTTGTTTATTTGTTTTTGTTTCTTTGTTTTGTTTTGTTTCTTTTTTCGTTTTCTTGTTTGTTCCTTGCATGCCCATCACAATTAAGAACTTAATCTTCCCGGGATCTTGCCATCTTCCATTTTGGTTTTGTCCTTTTAAATCTCACCTTATTGTATATTTGTGTTTTTATATGGAAGAAAATAAATGTCTTTTTAATTTAAAAAAAAATTGAAAAAGAAATTAATCAAACTGACTATCAATGTTGACTGGCTATGAATTTTATTGCCGTCAGAAAATATAATTACATCATATAGGCCTAACCATGGAAGGGTTACTTCTTACGGGTATATAGGGCATATACAGTTTATGTATACTTCTGAGTATCATTTCATTGATAAGTGATACCAGTTTTAATAGTAAAAGTGATTGAAAGTGTGATTTATTTTCAGAAGTATTAATTAGGACTGAAATTTATTGTTGTCGATGAAAAAAAAAATAAATCCTTTCCGAGCCACTGGGGCTCATAGGGCTGGAGTTTATCCCCAGTTTATGTAGTGTGAAGCGGATGAGAGTTGTACTCCCCCTGGACGGGACACTAGTCCGTCGCAGGTTAGTCCCCAGCAGTTTGCTGGTACCCATGATTGATGCGGCTGGGTGGACTGCAATGTAGCTAAGTGCCTTACCCAAAGACACAAGCGAATCTGCACAGCGGAGACTCGATACTCCCGACCTTACGATTGAAGCCCAACACGTCAACCGCTGCGCCAAACTGCCGCCAAATGGTTACAGATAACCTATGTGTATGTGTTTAATTATTATAAACATCGTGATTAGTTTTTTTATAAAATAGCACAATTATTTATGACCACTATAAAAGAAGATTGGCCTACAGACGGAAAATACACACAAAAAAAGTCTACGGAACTTTATCACTGGGCCTAGGCCCCAAGGTTCAGGTTACCATTTTCTCCTAGACAACTCATGGATAAATGTGGTGTTGAACATCCTGCATTTATTTGTGTTGTTGGTGGGTATATGTTTAGGTAGGATAAATGGAGCAAAGGCGTTTTTCAAACTGAGGCCATATATAAAAAAAAATTTAGATGGTCGGTAGGCAGGGAGGTTGTTGTTTTTGTTGTTGTTTTTGCTTTTTTTTTTTTTAATCTGTAATGAAACCACAACCTTGATACATGCCAAGTCTTCAAATTCGCCATAGAGAACAAGACCTCATTTTAACTTGACGGATCTTCCAGTGTAGAGTTTGATCAGGTGGAATTTATACACTCTAACAACTCCATGTACAACAAAACATAGACCTAACCGAAATTGTTTTTTACATGCCTTTAATTTTTTATTTTGTAGGTAGAAGGACGATCAACAACCTATTTTCTTTTTCATGGCTTTATTATAGTCAAACCACGGGAATCTAAGTGACTGTGTAAACAATGCCACGTGTACAATATCTAGCTAAAAATCCAGAGTAAATATCGACAGTAAAGTTATTATTTTCCCTCAATTAAGCTGAAATGTGGCATTATGTTCAATTCTTGAGATGAAGACGTTGATAATTGTTGATCAAGTTTTTCAGAGCGGAAAGTTCCAAATCCTAGACGTTATCTAACGTAATAGGTTAACAATGTAATTTTAGGCTTTGAAATATAATATAGATTACAACCAATATTACCTGGAAGTATGCCTAGACCAATAGCCAGAAAGAAGACGTTGTTGGCGCTATAAGCGATTAAAAATCCACTCCCTGCTAACACACCCCCTAAAATTCCCATCGGTCTGCAGCCGTACTTTTTGCAAAGAGCACCCGCAATGGGACCTGAAAAAATAATACAATGGTATTAACACCATATTATTAGCTGGAATGCATGTTAATAATTAGATGATACAATATAGGATTTGTGTCTTCACTTACGAGGATGAAATGCAAAACCATGTAGCATTTATCACTACAGTAATTTATTTTTCTAACATTTTATTTCTTGTATTTTTAGATAGATAGATTTTATAATTTCTATAACACCGGTTGAAACGGAAGTTGTCACTAGCGCTTCACAATAAATACACAATAAAGAGCAATAATAACATTTTAAAATGATATACTAACAATAATAATAATGGTAATGATAATAGTAACAAAAGAATAAGAAAAAAGACAAAATCAGATCAAATAACAACAATAAAATCAAATAAAAATATTGAATAAATAAAAAATAAAAATAAAATAAACCTAAAGCTTTGTCCACACTATCACATTTTATGTGACAAATTTGTGATGTGCCAAATATGGGCATGATGATGTCATATTACGTAACCCCACACCAAATATGGGCATGATGATGTCATATCACGTATCCCCACACCAAATATGGGCGTATCATAATTATATTAATTTGTCACATAACATTTGATAGTGTGGACAGTGATTTAGATTATAATAATATAATTAAATTCATTAATATTAATAATAGTTATTGTTGTGTTCATTGTCCTTACCGGTTGTTAGGAGGAGAGTCATTGGCATTGACACTATCCAACCAATTGTCCCTGTATTGCTTTCAAAATTATCAACAAGTGGCGTTACAAATATCCCCAGAGTCCTCGGAATTCCAAACGATATATACATACACATAAACGACCCGCATATTACGACCCAGCCCCATCCACCATCAGGCGGTTGATGTAGGTATTGAGGGCGCCTTTCTACTTTGTGCATCTTTACTCTAAATTCGTCTTCATGAATCAGTGGCTGCAGAGCTGACATTCTACATAAAAAAATCATTAAATAATAATTTCAAGTATTAAGTAATACAAAACATAGTAGCACGTTATTGTGAATAACTAATTGAATTTCGCTGACAATATTCTCATGCCTAACAGATTGAACCCCTTGGCTAGTCTAAAACGTGACTTCAGAATCAGAGTTGTGGGCAATCCTTAGAGATTTCAGGCAAAAATTTGGAAATATAAACTAAAACTGAGTCAGCTTTTGGAATGAAATCATGAGACCCAAGTTGGTTCCAAGAAGATTAGTAGCTAGGAGTTTTGCTACTATAATTTTTAAAACAAATTTATATAACTAGCGAATATTTGCCGGAGCAGTGAAAAATAGTGACTGAAAGAGAGCGTGAAGGACGCCCGGAAATTATTAGGGTGGGCCGAAGTTCCGGATAAAAGACTTTAGTTATCTGCTTATCTTCAATTCATATTGTGTCAAATATGTTTGAGTAAGGATTTTAATGCCGGGAGTCGAAGGCTACTTCCTAAATACAGTATTCGCCAGCCGATGTTGACCAACGACATGCCAATAAACTTTGGTTGGGAGAGGGGGTGTGCAGTGTACAAAATACCAAAAGAAGTTAGACTGAATGTCGATGAGATGAAACTAACTTGCAAAAACATAAATGTAAAGTGTAAATGTACGCATGCGAGACTGTATATAAGCCTAAAATGTTATAGATAAATTATATGTGTATTTTGTACATACTGTATACAAACAAAATATACAGTACATACATACATGTATATATATTCATATATATGTATGTATATATATATATATATATATACAGTCATATATATAACACACACATATATATATATATACAGTACATACATACATGTATATATATTCATATATATATATATGTATATGTATATATAAAGTCATATATATAACATATACATATATATATATATATATATACAGTACATATATATAACATATGTATTACAAGGTAAAATACCGAAAACAACAATGATGTTGGAAACAATGGCTAGACTCAGTAGAGATACACAGACGTAAGTAAACAGTCAGAAATAGAACCAAAGCTTTCGGACACTAGTCCTTTCTCTGCGGTGAGGGACAGAGAATATATAGTGTATATATATACTATATATATATATATACATATATATATATAGTATATATATATAGAATAGGCCTACTATATATATGCTATATATAAGAGGTTGGTGAAGTGATGAATAATTCCTTTCCCTATGATAAATAATATTCCCTTTAAGAAATATTGTCTACGTTAACTCCAAATTAAAACAAAATTAATACACCTTTTTAAATTAGGGTAATGAACCATGATAAACATTTAACCATCAAGATCAAACGCATGCCGCCGGAAAACAAAATTGTGAACGGCAGGTGAGAAATAATTAGCCGGAATCGAGAGTGAAGATCAGTTTTGTAACAATTGCAATGTTGGTTTCCATCACGAGTCACTTTTTCATTCTACGCATTCCACTCGCAGATTTCTCTTTACCGTTTAAAATGTATTCCTATATTTATATTTATAAAGCATGGGCGCAGATCTTGGGGGACGGAGGACACGTTTCCCTCCACCCACCCACATATTTTAAAGGGGGTTGGTCCCCCACTTTTCGGGGGAAATGTGATTTCATAAGTCAAAAAAGATGCCTGAAAATTGTTGAAATTAACTGCTTTAACGAAAGAGCCCTGCTGTAGAGCCAAAATACATCTTGTTACAGCAAGATACCGGTATCTCTGCTCACAAATATTAAAAACTACCTATACACGACTTGAGAGCGCGTGCCTTTATTGTAATTTGAGAAGTATGAGAAAAAAAAGCGTGTAAAGATAAGATTGGTTTTTGGCACATGAAGTATGTAAAGTAAATACATCAGAGACAATTAAGTTTTATTTTCTATGCTGCATAACATGGATTAATTAGATCTCTATGATTGCCAAAAACCCCTAAAGAAAATCATGATAAATTTGTTGGCACTTCATTTTGGCTATAAGGGCCATGTGAAATTTTACTATAAAAGTGTCATTTCCGGCCAACTAGAGGTACTACGGTATTTAACAAATTTTCGCGTCTCAGCCCCAACCATGGTGGGGCTGAGATGGGCGTGGACCCACGACTTTAGGTAGGTAAAGAAGCAAAGATAAAGTTTTAAAGTTTTTTTTCTATAATACATCAGAAATTATTTAGATCTCTATGACTGCCTAAAATTCTAGATCAATACCGTACTCGCGCGAATAAGCGCCCCGTTTGATTAAGCGCCCCTATCGAATAACGTGAAAATTTCCTTAAGCGCCCCGTTTGAATAAGCGCCCCCTTCTAATTTGAATAAGCGTCCCTCATTTTTTCTTTTTAGCAAGTCAATAATCCAATCAATCCTGGGACTGTGGTTGTTGACATGATTTGAGCTGTAGAGTGGAAACACATTCTTCTTCGGTCAATATCAAAATGAGGATATTCTCTTGGACAGTTGAGAGCTCCGATCCCTGGACAGACAGTATAGATCCAACTTTACTCTTTTTACATATTTGTCTATGCCTAGTCCTACTCCTCTTTTTTCTTTTCCCGACCTTTAGCACATTCTCATCTGAGTTTTAAAAAAAAATACAATGATCCTACCATCCTGCTAATCTCAATCGGCTGATGGCCAACAAGCTAACTATTACCCACCACCACTAATTGCATATGCAATGCTTTTATGTAAATATTCACGCATTCTTGTCGTGAGCCATGTTATCTGGACGATTATCTTTTCTGGACGATTATCGTTTCTAACCACCATTCGTAATGTCCTTATATAATCTTTTTTCATTCAAAAAGTGCCTCTTGAATTTAATAATTTCTCATTAAAACCCCTCGATTTTCATTTATTTCCATAAGCGCCCCCTCAATTTCCACTCTGTTTTCATAAGCCCCCCGTTTAAATAAGCTTCCCGTTTGAATAAGCGCCCCTCAGAAAGTGCAAAAAAAAAATATTTTAAGCGCCCGGGCGCTTATTCGCGCGAGTACGGTAGGCCTATGAGTATCATTCTACAGAGTACTATTTTCTCAAATTTTCGCACCGAATGGGTTTCACGGAATGGTCCCCCCCCCCCCTCTCCTCTCAAAACAAATCTGCGCCCAATTTGACTTCAAGTGTACATATACATACATACATATATATATATATATATATATATATGTATATATATACATATATATATATTATATATATATATGGCGTATGATGTTGAAGTTATAAATATATATATATATATATATATATACTTATTATTATTATTATTATAATTATTTATAACTTAAACATCGTACCACATACCTGCTACAAACAAAATTCCTTCCTAATAACACAGCTAGTTCAGTAAAAGCTAGTTCAGTTTCCTTTCAACCAGGATTTAATATTGAAACATTAATTATTTTTCATAAAGCCGTTTCCATGTGTGTGTGCTTATATATACTCTAATACAGTATACATTGTGAGGTTCCACTGTGTTTAATAAACAACATAGGAAACGAATACCATGTATTGACTTCAGAAAACCAATATTTCGACATCGTCTTTATCAAGATACGTAAATTAAAAAAAACAAGCAAAAATAGGCACACATAACTACTATAAATTAATAAACAATACTAATTAATCTATCCATTTGACAACTTCAAATATCTAATGTTACTAATAAAATTATACTCCGTCCCAAATCCTCCTGTATTTTAATTTCATTCCATGTATTACACTCCCTTAGGAGAAACAATAAAAATATACAAAGTCGATAACGTTATGTTGCTGTAGATATTACCAGTATGTTTATACCGTCGTGGGAGAAACATCCGGGATATTCTCGTCCACTATTCGGCGACTGTTAAAGGATAAACTACGTCATGTAACCGTCCCAGGTGCAAAGCGTATAGGCTTATTCAGATGTTAATTTAGGGCCTATACTATTCATTGCAATTTATATTGTATACTATTGCATGTAATATTCATGCTCGTTTATTTGGAATCTCCTATAATCTATTTACTCTAGTACTGTACAATATGTTCTTGATATAGCTTCTCCCACGACCGAATTATCTGTATATATTATCTTCCATATGCTTGATTACTTTATCCATGCGCCTAAATGATAAACAACAAAAATCCCAAATGAAGAAGTGCATGTAACCTGAGGAAATAAGGTGATAAACTACTTGAGTGAGAGGTCTTTTATTCGGTTCACGCAAGGAACTTTTCGTTGAAGACTTCTATTTGATACAAATATAACTTATGTGTTCCTATATTTGAGCCCTGTTGCCAGTATCGATTTGCTTACCTACTGTACATTGTGTTTACGGTGCCGCGCAGCTAACATAACCTAAAGTTGGTCAAAAGTTCAATTTTTTTAAATGGTTTACTTAATAAACCCTTACATTCGAATAATCACACTTTCTGCTTCAGTAACCGGAACTTGGATGCAATTAATATCAGGTCTAACAAACCGTTATCTCAAGATAACAACGTTATTGATTATTGTAATTACATATAATTTAAGCAAAATGTTTGGTTGACATAGACTGTCAATAATAGATATTTTAATAGAAGTGATGTCACCATCATAATCACCATTATTGGCTATATTGACACTCGCGACTTTGGCGGCCTTTCGCGAGGCTGGGGGTCCGGATATTTGCAGGGAGCAGAAAGAAACTGTGCATTCCTGTAAAAACAATGAAATAATTTGAAAGGACGTTGGGATCCGTCTTCTGTTTTGTCACCCTCCCATCTTTTGTAAGATTTGAAAGCAAAAAATAATATTAGCCTGAAATTTATTCTAATAAATGATCCCCACCAAACAAAAGGAGAAAAATGCTGTTGACTATTTACCAATATCGCACATTTTTTCTGCTAAAAAAGCACTCTAGCATGTTAGGGGCGGGGCAGGGG